GGATAGAATAGAATAGAATAGAATAGAATAGAATAGAATAGAATAGAATAGAATAGAATAGAATAGAATAGAATAGAATAGAATAGAATAGGTGTGTTTTCTTGTTAAAAATTCAGCACACATACAGCAGCGGTGCTCTTTGTGACTGTCGCTGCAGGTTAATTTCCATAGTGATAAATATCGTATTGTCATATTTTACCAATATTAAAGCTCGTGTGTTTACACACAGTCTGCCCCTCTCTCTCGCAAAACCTTTCGTGCCCTCAGGTGGATGCCAGGGATTTGTTGTTTTCACTGTATAATATATAGTTAGTCCTTCCACCAATTTACCCTGTCAGTGCTAATGGGGCAATTAACCACGGCGATGCCCCCTCCAGGCAGGGGGGAAAGCCGAAACCTTCCCAACTCCAAACTTGTCTTTCTGACATTTATATGACAGAATGTGGGGGAAGCTGGGGACCCATCTGACACCTCGGAGAGTCCTTAATGTCACCCACCTCCCCGTGCGCCCGCCCCCTAACTGCCCCGGGTTACGGCACCGAGCTGAAAGTGTAATACATCACGTACGGTAAAGAGTGAACGGAGGAAACTTTGTGCTGCATCAGCGGAGCAACTCGGGCTCGCACGGCGCGGCGTTGGTTGTGAACGCTGCCGTCTGTACGCACAGACACAGTTAACATCATCCAGCTTGACCTCTGGCTTCGTTTAGGAGTCTGTAAGGCCTTTTGTCTGAGCTCACATTCCACCTGTCCTCTCTGCATCCCTGAGGAGGCAATAACCTCACTGGCAAGAGCTTCCCCTTGAGCCGTTGTCATAGTAACTTGTGGGCTGGTCGACATGACAACCCCACCATGGTCCAGAGATAGATGATAGGGCAGAAATAGGGAGGGAGCAAGGCACATGGGGGATTTGAACCCCCCTTTAATTTGGTTTGCCTGATTCTGATTTAAAATCTCTCTCTCTCTCTCTCTCTCTCTCTCTCTCTCTCTCTCTCTCTCTCTCTCACCTGCTTTACATTCATACAGGTATTTATAGGCCGCAGACACTCCCGTCTGAGCATCAAACGCAGACGCGCTGAGCTTTAAGGTGTCTGAACTGAAATTGTTGAGAAAGAAACATTTATTTTCTTTTTTTTAACATTTTTCATGCAGTGTATTATTATTATTATTATTATTATTATTATTATTATTATTATTATTATATTTTGTTTGTTAATGTAAAAGAACGCATAAGAAAAACATCATCTTAAAGATGAATATAAATGATGCAATAAAGGTCTGTGTGTTTTCTCTTGGCTCATTTAGGGCAATAAATCTAAAGTCTGCTTTTTACGAGTTTAGGTAGGTTTATAATAAAATGTAAAAAAATAATGAGCTTGGTTGCAGGTATTTGAAAGAGACAGCAGAAAGACCTCCTTTTTCCTACGTCTCTGCATCAGCACCTGCCAACATGCTGACTGTGTCATACCATGTGTTGAATGGGTCAAGCGTTACTGCAGTTCATTCTGTCGTTTTGTCGAACTTGCGGTTTGTGGAGAACAATTTGTTGCTTTAAAAATATATATTTATATTAGTCGTACACGTATGTGTCTCAGGTCAATTCAAATTTGATAGTGCAGCTGAGACCCCCTATTTTTCTTAATTTACTAAAAATAATTGTTTGTTTTAAGC